CATTCATACACACATACATACTTACATACATAGATATATATATATATATAACAAGATGTTGAGGCACACAATCGCGAAAAAATCGATAAATGCTATCTACATACTTGTTGTTTTATTGAGAGACTTTGGCACGGAGGGTTTATAGCTCGTGCGGATCATAGACATCAACTCCGCATCTGTAGGTAGAAACGCATGTCAATACATATATAGACTTGAAAACATGTTGGTAAAAATACTATCATTGTGCCTTTGAGTGCAAGAAAACACCATTTCCGTGAATGAGAGCATTGTAAGGTTAATATCATCTTACCTGAGAAGATGGGCTGTTTCCCAGCCGGTTTCGACTTACCTGCTAGGAAAAAATAGCAAACGAATATATCAGAACTTGCAACACCATATACAAGAGGCACACTACAACGGCTTGCTATGTTATGCATATCGCTAGTGCCAGGAGCTTTAGACATGCTGGCCAGCACTGCAGTGCGATATAGGTACCGTATGAAACGACGAATGAATCAGAAAGAAAATAACTCAATCATCAACTTAGGAAGCACGACGTGAATGTGCCATAGTGCTGTCCACATACCTCGCTTAAACATTGTGAATGTTCTGTTTGGACGCTCTTTGTGACTACTATTTTTACGTTCAAACGACCGAGATAGTCCTGCAGAATGTTTTGTCACTATGGACGATTTCCAGTCAGCAGATAGAACCTTTATCTGTATGCTATAATGTTAGGGACTTCATCGACAATTCACGCTTGTAAATATGTATATCCATCCGTATTTTACTTCACTTATACGTAGTACTAAATACACAGCATCCCCGGTGTTTTATCCAATGACCGATGGAGGGAGGCGGGGATTTATACACTTTATTATTTTTATGTGTTTTGTTTTGAAAAATGATGATGCCTTGACTATTGACCATTGACTGGCCAGACTTCTAATAAGTTCAAAGTTTTAAAAAAAAAAGTTTGAACTGTGAGACTGTGAGTTCCAACTTCCATACATATTTATTTATTTACAAGTGTGTATTTTATTTAAATTATTTACAATAAATACAAATATTTAAATTTCCTTTCATTTAAAATACGTTCGTATGTTTCTAATCGCCTGTACCAAAGTCGTCACACTTCATCCTGATTTTATAAAAGTTGTATGTTTTTAATAATAACTATCCGATTAAAAAAATCCTAAAAACGGCCCTAAAAAATGGTGATATTTATTATTAGGCCTTGAAGTTGAAAACGCTCCGTACCGGACAGAAATGGACAGCGGCTAACCGATCACCGAGCGGATGTAATCTATAAAAATGCGCTAAATAAATATGCACATAGTCATACATAGTCGTCAGTCAAAACAAAACAAAATTGACACACTCCTATATATTATATAATAAAATATGCCGTTCATACTATGGGGTATGTGAACATAAATACAGTCTACAACTATTGATTTCAAGTCCGAACTAGGTTAGGATGGTTGCGGATAGTTGTTGAGGGATCCTCTTTTCGTTTGGCAAATTGCCTGTCTGCAACAGGTATCAATATGTAAAGAATAAACCGTATATTTCGCTCGAAAGGTCTTATTCTTCAACAGCGTTGAGATCTCGATGACTGAAAAAGGTAGTGGTGATGACGTGGTGCCTATATTCAGCTGCGCTTGAAACATCGATATTCAATGTGTGTGGCTCATTGGTTGATACATCAGGAGTAATTACTTGATACGGAAGTTGACCTGTCAAATGTCTCAATTTCTTAGGCCAGTCGCTCGTACAAAACAAACCAGTGTTTTAGCTTCCATGACAACATCATATTTATTAGCGTACATATTGAAGTTGGATTTCTGATGTACTGTAACATTCAAACTACGGGGGCTATTTGTTTTTCCCTAGTAGAGTGCGATTGATTTTGCCGAGATACATAATAATTCCATGGCTTTTATAATTACTATACTTTTATTTATACTTGTGATATTGCGAAAGATAGTTGACTGTATATTTGACGTATAAACGAAGATAGCTTGTAACACCTCTACGAGAGTACAGCTCGTCACTAATCAATTGAAAATCAGTAGCTTACTTCATGTTATACGGTCATTGATACCTTATAGTTGTGTGATAGGAAATATACATATTCGTACACCTATCTCCTACCCCCGGTAGTCTGCGGTTGCTGATTTCTACCACGGCGCCCACGCCTGCCTTCACTCTGGACACTTGGCATCGGTGCTTCCAATCCCATAGCTGGGTCGATCGTACCCGATGTAACTATGCAGGAGTTGCACACCCGAGAAGGCACGCCTTCCAGAGCAACTCTATTTTTAGAACACAGATCACAAACCACTTTGCCGCACGCACGACAGTTATGTTTGGACAATACAATACCGAAATCTTTACTACAGACTGCACACTTCTTAGCAAGGTCGGGGTTTTCCCGTTCGCACTCGGGCAGTAAGCGTATAGGCACATAGGAGCTTGACTGAGTGTCTGGCTGCAACCGTCCAGTACCATGGGCGAAGTCATACTCACCCTTGTGCACAAATCCGTCTAGGGATGCGCCCAGAGTTTTCATTAGTTCAGGATTGTTGCGTGAGTTGAGTACAGGCGGAGCCAAGAGCATGGGCAGATCTTGACAATTAGGGTTCCACGAGTCCCACACCGGAGGTAACATGATCAGAGTTGATTGTAGTTTGTTGTCCACTTTTGTAGTCTGGGTTCTGGTTAGCATAAGGCCACGACGGATCACAAAATCACCCAGAGCTGGCATGCCATGTTCAGTGTTGGCCTTGGCAGCTTTATGCGCCTTTGAATGTTTGATCATAGCTATAGGTACTTTGAATATCGCATTTTTAGCCGTCAGTAAGATAGTGCCTACAGGTTTGACTTGTCCATCTCGTTTCTTCACCTCAAAGACAGGCGGAAGAGGTTCTTCTTGATACACCGGAGGGTTGTAGTCTGGCATATCTGGGCACACAGCGTGTTCGGATTGTTTGTTGATCATCGATGCCACAGGAAATCGGTTTTCAGCTTGTTCAGCATTATTCTTAACGTCATCCATTGCTTTAGACAAAATCTTCTTTCTCAGCTCGCTTGTGGCTCCGGGATTGAGCTGCAACATAAGCCCAGCCGCTTGTACATCATTCAAACTCACAGGTTGCTCAAAGTATGAAAGTTGAAGGAATGTACTGTCATCGTTCTGCCGGGCGCGTTCCAAAGCATCTTTGTTCGCAGTCATTAGCACACGGCCGATATTCTGGCCCGTTTCTTCCAGCTTGCTTGTGATAGCTAGTTTATCTGCGATTGCTTTAGAGGCTGAACCAGTACCAAACAGGGCAACGCCGGCGCCTAGGGTGATGGCCGGACCACCAGGAATGAAATGAAGGCCAATTCGTCCAGCTTGCTGTGCTGCTTCTATACCCTGTTGCGCCCCTAGTCCTTTTCGAATGGCCGAGTGAAGATCCTTGAGCTCATCACTGCAATCGTCTATGGCCTTTAACACACCATCCACTTGGTCTTTCGGTGTTTGGGGCGGGAATGCAGAAGAGGGAACTTCTACTGAGAGATTCTCGCCTTGATTGCTTGTTGCACTAGATCTTTTTTTATCACTATACAGGATTGCAACGCACTCACCAAATCCTGGAAGGGAGTGATCAATGCGTGCGACTCTCGCAGTAGTTTGGAAATTCATTTCATAGTGATTATTCGTAAATGGGCTGATCCACCTAAATATATTTATATAAATAGCTCCTTAATGCCTCTCTCTATTCTATGTTCTCTATAGACTATGTAGACTTTGTAAAACCGTTTTTTGTTACTTTTTTTTAGAAATATATACATTTTTCTATCGGAATTCGGAAGGACGACAGCTGGGAGTTTAAATGGACTATGCCGGTGCCCTTGCCAGTTAGTAGTTGCTGCCCTCTATCACTATGGGGCACGGGCTACGGTGTCGTTTTTGATTTTATTATTCACTTTTATCAGTGCGAGCAACAGAGACTCAGCCCAGAACTCCAGGTCCGTCCGTGAAGAATGCGAACCGCCGTACAGATACCAGTTGACAGTTTAGAAAATAAATAAGACTATACATCGTATTTACAATTTTACACCCTTAGGTCTCTCTAGTAGTCTCTACTACATAGACTCATAGAGTGATCACCATTAAAAAAATACTTGTAAAAAAGACGGGATAGACCGATAGACCGGTGGGCGGTGAGTGGTCCACGACTGGAGTTCGGCCCAGAGGCCCACTGGGTCTGAACTCTGAACTCTGACGACTGTGACGAGTGGCCGAATGGGGATTGGGGACTTGGGGACTTGGGGTCCTGGGGACTGGCGGGCTGTGGCCTATTTACTATTCAGTATTTACTGGCCTTCCGGATTTGGGACTTCTGAAAGTCCTCTCGAGTCTCGAGTCTCGACTACTCCTCAAGTCCTGAGTCCTGAGTCCTGAGTCTGAGTCCAGTCAATCAGTCATAGACTCATCAGTTATCACTATCATTATAAATACAAGTTCATAAATACAACAGACGTAAAAAAAAACAGCGTACGGCTAACCTCAAACCGTTTTCCGTTATAAACTTTTATAAATCGAATAATTATACGTTTACGTTCAACTTTTATTCCATATATGGTCCTGGGTATGCCCATAGGTGCACCTTGCGGGTCTAATTAAGTAACTGTGTACAGATTTCACCATACGTACCAGTCCTATAAAAAGAACTTGGGTACGCTTATAGCCGTTATAACGTTTTAAAATAGAATAAATATGCGTTTACGTTAAACCTTTATCCCGTACCCCCAGAACGTAATGAGCTTAGCAAGTACGTATGTACAAGCACTGCTTAAACAAAATTCAAAAAATTCATAACATTGAAAATAAGTAAATATTTACGGTTTTAGAAAGGAATGCAGAATAAAAATCAATGCGATTCGCTAGCTACAAAAGTTTAAAAATTCCTGATTTTTTTATTAGAGTTGTTTGGAAATTGGAACACGGAACACATTTCTTTCTATTTCCTATGCAGGCTTTGCGTTGATGCGCTGCAGTTTATTACTGTCCACAGACTCCACACGGTGCTGTGCGAAACATAAGCGTGCAGGGGCTGCAGCCTGCAGGTTGCTTAACTTGCTGAGCGACTAAATTTAATTCTTCTACTTTCTCCTGTATCATTGTGGCGCGTCGTGTTATTTACAAAGTCCTAAGTACCTACCATATTCTCAGGTACTCCATGTTCTTGTATCACTACTACATAGCACAGTAAGATTAGTGTCCCAATTACAGTCAGAGAGGACGATGTAAACTCAGCACATGAAACTAGGGACTTTGGAGAGTATGACGTTTGGCGTCTCTCTGAATAGTATTCGGAACCTAAGATCGTACTACCCATACGCAACCCATCATTGTACTTGAACTAGCAAATGATCAAGGTAGATGCATAACACTGAGACATTCGAATCAAACATATAAGACGAGTCAAAATGACATGATCAACCACAGTGCGGATTGCATTCTTGAGATTTAGTTTGTTGACAATTGACAAATCGTTCAAAGCGACTATTGTTGGCAAACTGATCATACACAGATTACATACAAAATGCGAATAAACTACTTAAACTATCGCGCTACTGATGATGCACATATTTTGCGATAAGACTTCGATGAAAGTTTAAAAGTTTTCACGAACGAACTTACATTTACACTTATAACGAGAAGTTTGCACAATCTATGTTCAATCTACGAAATAGTGTCTTTCGATTCCAAATATTTTGCGGCTTAGCACAGTGAGAATAGAACCTCACGAAGCAAATGGAGGATTTCTTTATTTGTGCACAAGTAGTTTACAGAGGCGTGAGAATGAGAAGTGGGAACGGAGAAGTGAGAACGGAACACGTATACAAATATGGACATCTGGACACCAGTTCACGAATTTATTTTAGGTTGTTTTGGATCAAAGTAAATAGAAGCTGTGCTTTCAATATAGATTTCATATTTACCGTTGTTCATTCTTCAGACTTCTTGTACTAGAAAAGACATGAGACTTCACAAGAAGTGTGAGACATCACAGGGGATCGAAAAATGAAAATGCATACATGAAGATAAAAATGATACAAACAAATACATTTCATTACTACTTTTTTAAACAAAAATAAAATAAAAAGAAATAATAAAAAAGAAATATGCCAGGAGTTCCAATCCAGATATTTTTACTGGTCTACAGCTTCAGGTAACTTTTCGTTGTTAATTTCTGAAGTTCAAAGTGGCATCATCGCATCACTCGTCACTCTCTCTAGCATGTCCAATGTATGTGAAATTGTGAATGCGCTCATGACCGTACAATCTCAGGCCTTCATTGCGTTAAAAAAAACATTCATATTTACATAGTCTCCAACATTCACGTGTGACGAGAAGATGATATTTCGAGACTATGTGTCAGTCCGGCGAGTTGTACATGTATGGAAAAGGAAAGTACGCAAAGATAATCTCCACATTAATTGTATGTACATGAAATATATACAAGACGAACCGCGCACATTTGCACAATGACGAAGTTAAGCCAGGTTGCATTCTTTGCGAGTGTCATCGCATTTGCATGCGCACAATGCCCACATATGGATGCTATGAAGAGGCGCGATACAATTCGTCTGGAGAACTCGGCTTTTGAGAGCTTGGAGTCGCCGCGTACCTACAAGTAAGAATTATGACAGAATTCTATGTGCTACGGACATTGAATCATTCATGGATGTCTTGCCTGTTAGTTCGTAGTCACGAAGTCTTCGCATGTTGCTGCATGAGATCCCAGTTTCCCAGAGTCTGGATAGTTCTGTTTTGTATTTTGAGGATCCGGACCAAGGATTCCCATATGCAGTATTAAACGTGAACGAACCTTCTGAGTTGTTTTATGGTAGTTAGTTTCTCACTTACTGCTTGAACATTCGCATTTTTAGGGGTATGGAAATTTTTTCAGAAGTGAAAGAGGATATCAGGAAAGCATTGAAGACTCCTCGAGAAGAATGGCCTGCGGATTACGGACACTATGGAGGATTGATGATCAGAGGCGCATGGCATTGTGCTGGTACATACAGGAAGAGTGACGGTCGAGGTGGTTGGTAAGTGCATTTGTACATGGCATTTATTTTGAATACAACACCACATGAACATCGCTGTCGTGTTGGACATTGTTTCCTGCAACATTTTGCATACGTATTGAGTATCAAATTGCCATACGAAGATCTATGTTATGCACAATCGCCGGATTGGGCGTATTGAAGCAGTATTTAATCATATCAGATGTTGTAGTATCAATTCAAACACTGAATCTGGGTTTGCACACAGCGATGGCGCTCGACCACGCTTTGCACCCGAACTGGAATGGGAAGATAATGGCAATCTAGACAATTCGCGCATCATTTTGGAACCGATTAAAGAAAAATACGGTGATGATCTTTCCTGGGCGGATTTGCTTGTATTGACCGGAAATGTCGCCATCGAGGATATGGGTGGACCAGTTCTAGGTTAGTCGATGTGGGATTTGTAGGTGATGAAATCCTTTAGGTATTTATTTAAGCTCGGCGTTCGCTTGTGCTTTATAGGCATCGCGTGTTCTTGTTTTGTTCGTTGGTATTGCCTGTCGCTTTGGCGTGTCGTTTCCTATTCTCAACGAGTGTAATATCGGTATTTCGAATACGATCAGGATTTTGCGGAGGCCGTATGGATGATGCCGATGGTACCAACAGTCTTCCGTTGGGACCATCTACGATACAAGAAGCTATTAAGCCTTGTCCCGTTAATGGCAAATGCGAAACACCACTCGGACAGACAAAGATCGGGCTCATCTACGTCAATCCCGAAGGTGTGTGCAACTTAGCTGTGTGCTACTTACAGGCTACTGCACCTTGTGCACTGCAGGCGTTGTTATTACTAACTCAAGAATATTGCGTTAGTGCTAATAACAGTCCGGACTGACATATGTGGGTGTCGATATGTTCTGCTTCTCAATGTTATGCCTTCCTTTCATGCGAGTAGGTGTTATGGATGAGCCAGATCCCGAGAAGAGCGTACACGCCATACGTGACTCTTTCGGCCGCATGGGCATGAACGATAGTGAAACAGTCGTGCTAATTGGTGGCGGCCATACCTATGGTAAGGCGCACGGTGCTTGTGAAGACCCCCCTTGTGGAGAGGGAGAGATGAAGGGCAAGGGTAACAACACGGTAACCAGTGGACTAGAAGGTCCATGGACTACTACACCTACTCAATGGGATCAGGAGTACTTCACTAATCTACTGAAATACGACTGGGTCAAGTTTAAGGGCCCCGGTGGTCGGTACCAATTCAAGCCCAGCGATGACAGTGTTCATATTCAGGTAAATATAATTTTTATAGCTTTAGTCATATCGTATTTTTAATATCGTATCGTATTTTTATTATAACATACCAGTAGTCGAGTCTGTTGATCGCGTTCATATTAGCCCTTTGAAAGATTTGCGTGTTCACTTTAGTGCCCACTCGCGTTGTATCTCCTGCAGTAGATCAGTTATATATACCCTCCTAAGCCATCAAGTAACCGATTTTTACCTACATTCATATTTGTTCGCATAGATGTTCACTACGGACGTTGCACTATTACACGACGAATCTTATTTGGCGCTGGTAAGGAAGTATGCCACCGACAAGGAGGCCCTGGACAACGACTTTAAATACGCGTGGTACAAACTCGTGACCAGGGATATGGGACCACGTGAGCGTTGCCATGGTGAGGACATTCCACCCGCCCAGCCCTTCCAGAACCCCCTACCCGAGCCATCCAGCGCGACCGTCGATGTACCCGCGATCAAAGGACGTATTGCCAAGCTATTGCGTGCTGAGACGGAGATCTTGGAGGGCGATAAAGACACTGAGGGCAAGCCCTACTACGGCGCACTTCTGGTGCATTTGGCATATCAGTGTGCCTCTACGTTCAGAATCACAGACTACAAAGGAGGCTGCAATGTAAGTTCAATCACGGTTTGTTCACATGCTTTGCTTGAGATTCTTATTTGGTTTTTGTTAGGACTATAAGCTACATGTGGAGTATCTCCTGTGCCCGATATTCGATGTTGTTTATTTCAGAATACTGCTTATGTATAACATTACTGTCCTTTTAGTATAACACTACTGTCCTTTTACCAGGGTGCTGCTATCCGGTTTGTACCACAAAAGGATTGGCCGGAGAACGTGGGCATGGACAAGGTGTTGGAGTTCCTAGGCTCAGTACACGCTGACTACCCGGATATGAGCTGGGCCGACCTGATTGTTCTGGCTGGTGAGGTGGCTCTAGTTGAGGCTGGAGGGGAACCCATGGACTTCAAGTAAGTCTTCTGAATCTGATCGTTATTATTTATACACTGTTGCCATAGTTACTTGAGTAGAGAATCTGCCGTATTTTATTCCACGTAGACGGTGGTTGCCTTTGGACGTTTCAGTTAAACAGGCTCAGCCGTTCGCTCGTTGCTCATTAACTGTCAACTAAGCTGTCACGTACAATTGTAATATCATGTCTTGTCTTGTCCTGTCCTCCATGTCGTGAATGGGACTCTGATTCTTTGTTTCTATTTCTATTCTCTCTTGCCACAGCGCCGTACGCTCGGATGCCGTTAGTGGCGAGCACTACGAGAGTGTTGAGCTGCGTGACTACTACGTCAATGCAACTGTGGCTGTGCGTGATAGTATGGACGTTATGGGCCTCACACCGGACCAGTTTGTAGCGCTGATGGGCCGACCGCGCAGCAACTCGCAGATGAAACGGATAGGGTTGTTGGGTTCGTACGATACCGATCCGTCCCACTTTACGAATGAGTACTACCAACTGTTGCTCAACAGCACTTGGGTGCAGAGTGAGCAGAACGAGCACGTGTACATTGCCGAAGATAGTGAGGGTGTGAAGATCGAGGGCACACACATGACAGACTGGGATATGGTACTGATTAACGTGCCTGAACTCAAGGAGATTGTCTCTGAGTTTGCCGCAGACGAGAAGTGGTTTAAGGAGGTCTTCGCGGAAGCTTGGGTTGCTTTGATGCGTGCTGATCTCTTCTAAAGCGCTTAAATTGATATAGGAGCGTACACCGCTTTAACATACATATGATCCGCTCTAATGCGAATAAGAATGCGGGATTATTAGTAATTCTAACCCTGTACATACGACCGACCAAGAGTATACAATTCCTATCGGGGAAAGGTGAATAAGAACATCAAGATGCCTTGGGAGAGCTCTGTGCTATCAAAATAAACATGACGTTGCATTACGAAGTTATCATAAGAAATTATTAATCCATTGGGATACATCTGTGAACTTTCAGCGAGGACTTATGTACAGTGCGCGAGATGAACACGATAGAGACTGTGTAGTATATAAAACCTTTAAACCAGAATGATAGCCTTGAAACCAGATTAGATGCACTTGGCTCGTTTAGCTTTGAACAATCGTATAATTATCACGGCTAAAAAGATTATATGCATAGTTTCAACACGAGTCTTCTGTGCGGATTATATGCTTTCGTTCTATTGAATTTACCTCCTTTTATTGGGCAAGGTACTACCAAACCATTATTCGAGATTTCAACATCGAAGTCGCCGATTGTTTGTTGGAGGTTAGTCTTGTATGTTAATACTGAGAGTGCGTAGTATGTGTGTGAATCGTGTGCTTTTACACACTTTGTTCTTATCTTTCATTGAAAAATAAGATGCGAATTCAGTCATCAGCTCTTACATCAAGATTCGGCACATTGCTCATTCCAATATATTTTGCGATTTGCCTGCAACGGAATGTGTCAGATATGTACCTCCGTGTAACGTATTTATTCACATAGTGAATGCTATGAAGTCCGTTTTTAGAGGATTAGAGACAAGAATTTATCATCAGTGTTCACCTTTTGAATGTGTTCGAGACTAACAATTTATATGGTGTGTATATCTTCGTGAGGAGGAAATATATACATATATACATATGTAGCCTCTATGTACGTTGTCCTACATACACACATACGTTTTCTTTTTTAACCAAATATATGGAGTTAATTCTGGTAGTCACGACTTTCCAATTGGCCGATGATATCCAATCAGAAAGTTTGAAGTACTGACTCCCTGACAAGACACACTATTTACTCACTGAGTCACTGTTTGTTGTTTTCTATTTTTGCTCAGCATTGTTTGATGTCTCGCGCACACAATACAATCATCACAACGTATGTATGTATTTTGTATGGTCTTCTATAAAATCATCATCTCATCATCACACAACTTCTGGACCTCTGGTCAGACTGTAGTCTGTAGTCTGTACTCTCCATCGATTTAAGTTTGTCTATGAACCGGAAAAGTTCGGTTCTCCTCTATATCTGACACACACAAACACACAAACACTCACACTCACACTCACATTACCCTTGTTGTCACTGTATATTTGAACACCGTCTGAACACAATGACACAAGATACTGCGACTGGGTCCATTACCTTAGAATGGTTAGCTGTGCAAAGAAAGAACTTCAATGCCACGCCTGTGCGGGTACTTGCACAGAATGCAATGGTCAATACGGAGATGGTCAAAGTGCTCACCAAACGCGAGCTTGTCCCATCCTATACTCATGATTATAGTGTGAAGGTGAGTTTTTTGGTCGAACATGTAGTGATGATACGCGTTGCTGAATGTGCATGAATCTACCGTGTACTAGTTGTGTAGATATAAGCTATATATATATATATTTATATATATATGTATGTATTAATATATTGTACCCCCACCTCCCCCCCCACACACACACATATATA